ATGCTTCAACCCGTAATTCCAGCGTAATCGGATAATGAAACCATGGCAGGGAGAACCACATTATGACCTGCACGTGGCAGATGGCTGCTACTCTTGCTGCTTTCATGTCGACGATAAAAAGTTTCTTTACTGATCACGACGATTGAGGGGGTAACCATCCGGCAATGTTGCCCTGCACAGCCAGTTTCCAGAGATGTTTGGCCCAGCTGGAGCACCCTTGGTGTCTAGCTGCCATGTCAGTCGAAGGAAGCACGCGGGCTGGGATACTGCCAGGTTGCTGAAGCCTAGACAGGGGAAGTCGAGAGGTAGAGGTCGGGGTCGAATCACGAACCTTGCGGTCAGTAAATTCGCGCTCTAACCACTGAGCTCTCTCACAGCTAGGAAACATTCACTCTCTGGATGACCTGTGTTAGGACGCCGTAAAACAAGTAAAGTCAACTGCAAATGTATACGGTTTCCGGGTTTTCATACGCAACACGAATAAATCTAATCAAGACCGCCCCCTTAAAAAGTGAGTGACAAAGTAACTCATGCATTCAGGTGCTGCACAGTCAAGACAGACAGACCAGTAAGTTCATCGGGACAACACTGTTTAAAGCTGTTACATCTTCAGACATCAAAAATAAGTCATGTGACATAAACTAAGGTGTGACGGCGAAGATGCTATCGGCCCATTTAGTCGATTAGGCTGGGAAGTGATCAGCGATCAATAGCTTGCCGCATCTTTATTAGCAAGCGCCTCTATGTCATGTAGCCCGGTGAAGTTATCGCCACTGGGGTGAGTGAGCGACCACCAGCCTGTAAGCCTCTTTGGCTGAGTAAAATCGAGTGAAAGGAAGATAGTGGACACGATATCGCGGCAGGCGCACTCCAAGGATGTTACTTTGGAGAAGAGATGGAGGTCCACAAGATGAAGAGCTTCTGTTGTTGATGCGAACACAAAGCAAAGGCTGTAAAACCTTGATTCGCTGTTGCAAAATCATTTGTTGGATGGGCCGATGGGAGGAGAACAGAAAGGCGATAGAAGGCGCCTAAGGATAGTTTACACTCCCCGTCAAAGATACACCTCCTTCAGAGGAACAGGCGGGAGTCCGAAAACATGCAGGGCTGTACACCCCGACACGTCTTTCTCCCTCGAATTTTTGTCTACTAGCGGACATAAGATTAATAGTCTGGATTACAGCGGGACAGACACGTGGACATCATTGGTTAACTGGAACCGTTTGGATTATTACTTAATACTATGACGGGTAGACCAACAAGACCGGCTAAGAGCACGGGTCTAGCATAGATCATATATGCGCAAACACTATTCAGATATCACGCGTGACATCGTCGTAGTGTGGCTAGGGCTGAACACTTTGAAATCAAGAAATCGGAAGTATCGGCTCTCCAAAAGCTGAAGGGAAGTAAGGCCTCAGTCTTAGCATTCTAGAAACACGAAGAACAGCAAAAGAAATACTAGGCGAATTGTCAGAAAGCATAGAACTTGGTAGGCCAGTCTTGGTGAAACATGTTGGCCACGTAATAGGGCTTGGAATCAGCTTCTGTACGATAATGGATGCACCTATACAAATATTTTCGTCAGTTAGTGTCACTGGGGTCATTTGAATATACCCAGCTGCAGTAGTCACAACGCATGTATGTGGTATGTAGCTGTGTCTATGCCTACACAAGATCACGCGCCTTTCGGTTGATCAGTAGTGAATCAACAGGTCGCTTGACAGCCTGTTATGCGATCAAGTTAGCTTGCTTCACATCACCCTTGAGAAAACAGTGTCGGCTTACACCTTCCCGAGTCCTAAAACAATTAGCCGAGAAGAGGCGTTTTTCAAAGCAAATGTTCTGCCTCATTTTTCAAATCAACAGTAGCGACTTTTATTGCTAGGCTGACGCTAGGCTCTTGGCATTTAGGAAGCTGAATAGTGATCAGTAGGTTATGCAGACTTCTCAAAATAGTAGACATTACTTTCATACGAATGGTTCACAATAATGATAACCCTTGATTTCATTTCGACTGACCAGTCTAGTCTTCCACACAAATTCGCACAAGGTAGACTCCGAAACCCATGTTTCACGGGATGAACACTTTGAACACGCACCTAACCAGCGTAACCTATGGATCACGTTCCGTTGATCTATCGTGGGATATCCAGAAAACCATCTGCCACGCCAATCAGTTCTCCAAGTATGTGGTGTAGCTTTTATCCCACTTAATCGTGCAGTAGCACTTAATACTGCATGTGTGAGGGGAAAATAGAATTATTACTTAAAGTAAGCTGTATTTCTACATCGTCTGATCCAAGGACGATAGAGCACTTTGTCCATAAGCAAACATCACTACGGGGCATTCCGATCTCCGAGATGTTAGGGGAAGAAGATTCAAGCAGCACATCGACTATGAGAGAAGAGGTTTGGTAGAAGGTACCTTCCTCAGTCTCTCAGCTGCGATCTGTCGGGGCGTATGCTGATATAACAAATAGGCATCGTTTACCGTGTAGTGTATTTAAATTGATTAAACCTGTTAACCAAACATCTGGATCTTGAGGTATGTGACGGAATTGAGGTGTGATGCGCATGTTTCGGAGACAACATACAGCATTTGAAACCGGAAACAGGGTCTTGGCAAAATATTTATCAATTTTATGCAGAAAACGGACGTTGAAGGCCACAAAATAGAGCGGACCACTTGAGTTTAGTAGAGAGCCATTTTAGTTTATCTCAGCGGACAGACGTCTAGTTATGAGGTGGTGGTTCGGTGATTTATAGTAAAATTAATCAGGAAGGCTTAATTAAAGGGAATACGCAGGGAGGCTGGTGGACGAAGAGCGAATGAAACTTCTTGGTTATCCACGTCAAAGAGGGTTCGGTTGAGGTATCCAATCTTGAGCTCTTGACTAAAAACTGTGAACCACGAGTCCACTGTGGTTGGAGTTTTATTGCAGAACTCTTCCTGGGGTCAAGGACCAAACAGTCTGATCCACCGGTCCTGGGACACAGAGGGAAGGGCGTAGACGCCCGGATCTTGATGCTGCTACGCACAGCAAATGCGTTTGGAGCCGTATCAAGGTAAGGTTTCCCTTTCTTTCAACACCGGAAGTCACAGTTGAGTACATGTTTGAGTACATAGAGTTTAACACCAACCCTCCTCGAATTCAGCATCGCTGTCCCCATAGATATTAAGGCGTCTGTTGTCTTCGAGAAATTTCACTGTTCTCACAGTCTTGTCGCAGCCAGGAGCATGGCTTTACCTCCATACGTCCGCACAGCACACAGACCCGCTATGTTCCTGTTTAGCCTTCCTGACACTGTTTAGCAAGTGTGGCTCGCAGGGGCATTGTAGTCCGACCACCACGACGGGGTAACAGCAATGGTTCGGCACTTGAGAGCTGTACTAATGTTAGTGACAGACGGCATCAGTGCAACAATCTCCACGGACAGAATAGCGTTCGCCAAAAAACCATCTTTTAACACCAGAAAAGTAAATAACTGGATCTAAAGGGTCATGTAAGACTACGGTGCGGACTGTGGTGTTACACAGTTTAGACATCGCCGCTATCGCTGGGGACGATCTGGGGCGTCTTCAGATCATTGATTATCTGTGTCCCAGAATCATTGCGGATAGAGACTGGTTGCAGTGAAATTGCAATGACGCGGTCAGCAAATCCATGTTTGATGATACACCAGGTACCCCAATTGAGGAGTGCACCTAGCACCGCAAACTACGGTGTTTCGGTAATATCGAATTTTCTTTTACGAAGATTTTTTATTCTTGCTACAGGATGGCTTAAGCCGAGAGACAGAGAGAACGAGGCGTTATAGGCTAACCTTCCAGGACGAATCCACGTGACCATTGGTGTGCTGCAAGATGAAGCAGTAAACCGAAATCAGCGGCTTTACCAGATTCTATCAAATTGCCAGACCGAATTTTAGAGGTATAGGGATGTCGCGTGTTCGACGTAAATTACCACTCACCCCATGTGCCCTCCCACTTTTAACCTCTAGACACATGAGGAGTTTCTTTGAACAAACTGAAGTCGTTGTGCGACAATCAAGCATTGGTGACTCAGCATGCTGTTGTCACTCAGAAAATGCACTAAGAATGAGTCTACCGAGGAAAATGCATAAGGTGGTTCCGAAAAGGATAGAAAACTACCGGCAGGCCTCGTGAGAATAATGCAGGCACACAAACAGACCACGCCCTTCCAAAAGGGTTTCATTTCAATCGACCATGGCAAAGAATTTGGTACATGGGCTTCATTCAAAGAAATTCAACTTGGATTCTGCTCAGATGTCCTTCACTCGTCAGACAGACTGATAAAAAACAGTGGAAAACTCGGAGAAAGCCAACCAAATCCTAAACTCTGTCTCTCTTGCTCACTGATGGTAAGATGGACATGAAACTGAACTATACGAAAAAACTCTGCTAGTAGCTTGAAACACGCAAAAAAACGAGCGTTCCACTGTTATGTGACCTGAAAAACAGTGATCAAACCGAAGTTGGAACCACTCTGAAGGTCGTGCTCTCTTCGGTGCTATCCCGAAGTTCCCTAGTGGAGAACTCTTTTCTCTCTTCTCTTTTCTCGCATAAGCTGTGAATCTGGACCAGTTGCAAATGATACCCACAATAGATTCCAATACAATCTGACAACGACTGACCTATCGCCAGGATCTTAGCCTCATAGATGGGCATACCAGTGAAGCATACGAATTACTGTTCCGTTAGAAGTGCGTAAGAACAGGGTTGAGAATCAGCTAACCTCGGGGGCTCTCAGGCTTCACTCTTTGCTATGGCCCCCTACTAGTAAGCGTTCCCACCAAAGGCTGTAGATGCTAGCTCGAGCAATGGCAAGTGATGTTGGCAATCTGCTGGCACCAAGTTGTCAAAAATTCCCTTGCCATAGTATTGAAAAACAGTATGGCCAGTCAGACAGATAAATAACTCGTAACTCTTGTACTGACCATCTGCAAATCGAATTACACACAAGAACAAGGCTCACCTCCATCCAACAGTCGGCAATGTCATGAAGTCCGAGAATGATAGCTCCGATACGATGATGATTGGTCATGTAGGAGAAGGATAAAAGACCGATCGTTGCCATATGGTGAACGACAAGCACTTTAAAATCCTATGGAAACCAAAAGAGAGTCGCATTTGTACAAAAAACACAACGGAGATGACTTTGGTAATCACCGAGGAGATTTACAGTTAAGTACACTAACCCAAAAGTATACGCGGGTGTGCAAAAACCGGGATACACGGCTGATAACTCGTCTCAGAATGCGACTGACCAAAGTGAACCCCATCAGCTGCTAATGTGAATTACTATTTACCCGACCTGGTATAAATTCTAGGAGGCCTTGCAACATGCCGGCTAGTGTAAACTCGTTACACAAGGACAACGCATATGGCACGGATATGTTCGATTTTCTCAACGTATGAGCTTTTCTCCAAAACAGTTTATACGAAGTACGCTGTTCTCGCGTAGGAGCGCATAGGTGCGTGACAAAGTAAACTGTGTAAGAGTAAAGTGCGAAGTTATACTGAATAATAAACGTTGTTTCGAAGTGGAGGCTTACAGTCTGGATTATGTGACTGCTGAGGACAAGGTTAAATGTCTATTAGCTTAGAATTCCAGTAATCCTGTTGAACGTTGTTCAACTCTCAGAAGCCAGCAGAACGTTTAGAACAAAATCGCTGCAAGGCCAGAAGAACTAAGAATAACCATTGCAATCCACTCAAAAGATGAAGGGATTCAGCACCTCCCCGGAATGGGCCCCTTTCTGAGGAATAGCGACTACGACTAAGGTGAAACACTGCTATAAGTCCTCAGCTCTTCGGCAAGGTCTCGCTTTGGAGATCACTGAGTTTCATGGTTCTCAGTTTTTGTCTTCAGATGTTGGTCGGTGGGATGGACTTCAATGTGTCCTATATTTTCGCTTTAAACCCGTCCCATGCGTTTTGTCACAATACTTACATTGAATTTTGTAAAACAAACGTGTTATCGAAATGATTTGATATTCTTGCGACCATTTCAGAAATGCTCTTGAACTCCGAAAGTCTTGTTTTTACGGTTCACTTTTGGCCCATTGAGTTGGTGAGTTGCGTTTCGTCATGAACACCCAAATTAAGGTACTTTGTTTCATTGGTTTGGAGGATATCAGCTAAGCATTAATCTTAGATTCTATTGCGTTTTAGTTTGTTCTACTTGGCTTAAATGCCGTCCCGATGCAGCTCTGTTTGTAGCAACCGACAAAGAATATTTCGACAAAACACAAGTACCCTGTCGATTTCACTGAGAGGTAACAACTATGCAGGTGGTTATTTTTCGCCAATCCTCATCAACATCGTTACCACACTGATTCACGAAGAAACGCTCTTCTTTACAGCTTCCTTAAAAAAACTATGAAGAGACTGCATCGCTATCCCCGGTTGTGACATTACGTGTGTATCGTTCAGCGGTGAGTTCCTCAGTCAATGCTGAAGCATTGCCCTCTGTTTCGGTGGTGAGGTGACTCGATCAGCGACGCAAAATAAGATAACTGATGGATAGGACAGAATGGCAATTCATTTAGGGAATCATTGTCTTGATCAATGGACTAAGCAGATCGACTAGGTTCCTTCAATGCGTTTTTTGGAAGAATCCAAACAGATTCAGTGGAATACCGCCATCACCCCCGAACCACAATAGAAATTCAGAGAGAGACCTTATTATTGCGACACGGCAAGGCAACCAGCAAGGGTGGTCTGCACCTGTCAAAGGCGTTGAAACAGAAACAAAACAAAAATAACCGAAACGCTCTCTGGCATTCTTTTGGGCAACACCATGATTGACAGGGGATAGTTTTATGAGACTCAGCAACACATCTAAATGATGGTGGTTCAGGTGTGTTAATTCGTTGCAGTCCAGGTATACGTTGATCTGTTCATCAACTGCCTAGTTCGTCCAGCATCGGTCACCTGATTTACAGCAGAGCGGAGTTTCGCCAGAAACAAGGATGCATCCACTAGATCTCTGGTATGAGACAGCTTCCCGAACAGCGTCGCCTTTTCAAAAGTTTGACACAAGGGTTGCTTTTTTTGAGCTAAACGCTATCTTTAACTCTGTCAGTGGTTGAAAACTATGACCATCAAAAGTGTCACTTCTCAATTTCGATGCTTTATGAAGGCACTGTATGCGGACTCCTTAGGACGTGTACGGATAGACAAGCTGCCGCCTGGGTTCACCAAATTTAGTAGTGTAAGACAGGGCTACCCTCTCTATTCCTCCCCAACCTTATTGTCGTGCTGTTCGAAATTCCTGAGTCTGCCTATGAAATCCTCACGAAATCCTCACAAGGTGTTCGCCCACAGGCACCGAGTATGCAGATCCTTCAGAGATGTGAATCAGTTCGAATAACGTAAACAGTTGTACCGCACGTTTTGCTATGTGCCTCATAGCTGCAAAGTGGAAAATGCTACTAAATGGGATGAAACCCAAATCTCATGCTTGCAGATCCTTCAATCGGCGTGGCATATAAATCTGCTTGCCTAAACAGTTGTAGGAATTCCGATACACTGGTCGGAAACAAGATCACACCTAGAATCAGTAAGGCCAGGATAGCTTTTGCCAAATTCTGATACCTATGATGTCGGTGTGACTTCAGTTTATCTGTCAAGAACATAGTATACACCACGACGGTGTTATGCATAGTGTTTTACGGATCCGAACCATGGCCTCTACGCAGAGGGAGTATAAGAAAACTCTCAGCGTTTGAACAGCGGTGCCTCCGCTGTGCTGGCCGGATCTAGTACGAACATCGGATTGGCAATTCCCCATATTGTTTTAGGGAATGAATGAGCTACTCAAACTTCACGGGTGACACTGGTCAGGACATATACTTCGCATACCCGAGAATCATCTGCCACATTTATAGGTAAACAAAGTAGCAGCAAACATGGGGATTCGACAAACCTATGGGCAGTTTCCACACTAGTTGCAGCTGACAGATATCATCTAATAACACGTAACTGAAAGTCCCTAACCACATGCCTTTCCCTGAAACGAGACACAGATGATCATTCTCAAGCACGGCTGCGTGACGAAAGACCGAAGTTGTTCGAACTTTGCGAAACGACATTGATCAGAGTGAAATAGCCAAAAAACGTAATGAGTTAGTCCATCCATTTGCTCTGACCCACTCCACACTTTTTGGACCCCAAATTTCATAGGACATAGTGTGAAGTTTGACATTCAATCTTTGTTACCGCGCCTTCTACCTCTAAAACTGAAATGTTCTACGTTTGCCACTGGCAACTGGTCTTCTCGTTGTTTTTATACAATGGATCGAGGAGAGTCAGTTTTTCAGTTTTCTTCGTTTTCAGTAAGTATACATCCAAAAAATGCGGCAACCGAAAACGGATGGAGAGCGCAACTATCATCAGTTTTTCTAAAGCCTTTAAATTGCAAACGAGCACGAGGCCGGCAGAGTGCAACCACACAATTGAGTTTCAATCATGGGTTGGGCGTGCCAAATGACTGGTGAGGCCGTATAAGATGAGTTTAAATAGGTCTCGTAGATGCAGTAAGAAGAAACTAGTTGATGGACAAAACCAGATGTGTAAAAGTACTAATTCAACCCATTGTCTAAGCCATGGAAACCAGATGAGGATTCTTCAACCCTATAAGAGGAGACAGGGAAAAACTAGCTGACTGAAATGTAAAGGCAAATATCTGGACATATTAGGCTTGGAAGAACGCCAGAAGATTGGCAAAAAACTAGTGGAGGTACAAAATACCAGAGACAGTTTCGTGTGATAATATCCCCTGCTTTATCAACATATGCCCACGGTAATGCTTTTCATCGGATAGACTTTCAGACCACCTGATTGGGATGCGTAATAGACAGATGTTTGCTTCATGTGGATACACGAGACGCAACTGCCGTCGCAAATTTTTTAGTCAGGAGTTGCGACTCATTCAAGACAGTCATGCGTAATGAATAGTGTTGCAGCCGTAGTACTCTTTCGGTGCTTAGCTGCCACACCATCCGAAGAAAGTACGGAGGTCAAGATACTCCCAGGTTGTCCGAGCCTAGACAGAGGTCGAGTCCGAACCAGGGTACCTCCCGGTTAGTAACTTCGCGACTTAACCATTGAACCATTTCGAGCTTTCATATGCAAAGGAGCTAACACGGAGAATACGTGACAACATTGACCCTCCATGCCAAACGACCCCAACCCGAACACATACACAAGCTGCGGGTGCTCAACAATAATGCTTGCGGGATAGGTAACGCAGCTGTGCGGTGCTGATTCGGAAGACGTACAATATGCTCCACATAAATACACTACTCTTCAAACTGAGTGGTTCCATGGTCTCAAACAGTGAAACACCTGCACAGTTGTCAGCCAAAAGATATATCGGTCGCACTCTGGTTTAGAAACATCAAGCTTTCAAAGGACCGAGCGGATTCCTACAAAACAATTGCAACACACCAACCAGAGTGAATTTCCAGTGCTTGGCTCTTGACAAAGGTAACAACACGAGCGCCATATGGATGTATGGTAGCCCTCTGAAAGACACCACAGCAAGGACGCCTCTCCGGAGAGAGATCAACCCTTCAAGGAGACCTAAACGCCTCTTTTAACGTGGTGGTCACCCTTGTGGAGGAATACCTTATATGACATACACCAGAGATATTCAGTTCAGTTAATTTCTCCAGGAACAACTCATACACCATAGGTACGTGGACTCTAGCTGTTAAAGGAAAAAAATAAGGAGAGCCACACATTTGGCGCCTAAGTACCTCAGACGGCGAATGGTGAAATCGAGACAGGCATGGACCGAAGGCGATTGTCTGAATGCAAAAAACCAACTGAGATTGAGTCATGACTACGAGAGCCATTGCACTGTCATGTTCCGGGACGAGAAGTTGTTTCCGGTGAGGAGAGTGGTCGATGAGACTGCACTTACCAGCCAGGGCTTACTCACTAAGTTGTCCAGTCACAGACTGACCAGCACCCTGTGCACGGATGAACGAAAGCAGCTGTGAAGCAGCGGATCATTCTCGAAACTACAAAGTGCGTGGACAAGCAACATAACCGAAGGAGTGTGACTATCTTGTCTATCGTGGGTTGGTCGCCTCGCCCAAAAACTTTATGTTGATCCGAAGTTTCTAGTAGACCCGGGCAATGCCCCGGAGACATTGACGGCCAAACATTGAGTCTTCGTACGTCTTTTATACGTAAATCTTGCATCCCCAATCCAAAAAGTACGATGCAGAGTTTTTACTCTTGGTGTCGGAGTTTAGTAGAAGTTACCTTAGCTTGTTCTCTTCGGCAAGCAACAGCACGGAAACTAAAATCCCCAACTAAGTGAATTCGTCTCCCACGTTCATTTGGTTGGTCTGCAAACATGAGCTTTGTATCGTGGTAGCACTTCAGCGTCTGTGAATGAGTGTTGCGGGATCATTTCAACCCTAGAGACAAGAGGGGAGCTTTAAGAAAAAAAGTAATTAACAAATAAGTGTCATGGTTTCTGACGATCGGTGGAGTCCAAAGCAGCCCTCTAATGAAGAAAAAACGAACGTCTCCATAGAGGAAACGAAGGTTAGTCACCAGTAGGAACAGTATCGTTTTAACACCTGTCTGGAAGTAAAGATATGGTCGTTGTGTCCGCGGGTTTGAATCTTACAGAGTTGACCTCCTGGTGATCAGTCAACCTGCATAAGTTAATGTCGGAGGATAAATTGAGTGCCCTCTTGAGTGTCCTCTCAAGTACGTGTTTACGAAGAAAGATGAGCCTGAATAGAATAACAGCTCGCACGCGTACGGGTCGAAAACGGGACAAAATGTGATAATTATTGCCAAAATGGCACTACATGTTTGTAAATGGTCAAAGTCACAACTGACTTGAAAAGATTCGAATTCACCAAGTGTTTTTTATGGAAAGTCAGCGAAAGCTTTGGGGTGCTTCTTGAAAAACCCAAGTCCAAAGATAATCAGATAGAAGCAGGAGATGGGAAACCAAACAGAAAAATAATACGTGCAACGCACAAAATGCACGTAGCAGGGAATGCTTTGACGACCTCGCTGACGAAACGTGTTTCCAAAATAAGTACGGAGCCTGAGAACGGATAACCTAAGTTTCCTGGGCCAAACGTTGGGATAAAGATTATACAAAATCACAGGAGGTTTACCAACTGTCACGATGCATTAAGAAGCTATATCAGTTAAACTTACAGAACGACGTACGCCGTAGAAGACCCAGAATAGTTCGGACAGATAGTAGCCAAGTTCAATCACATAGTACCAATGGATCTCTGAAGGCATATACTGAAGAAGAGAATAAAACGAAATGGAGCCACGGTCGTTCCACAAAAAAGAGAGCGTTTGCTTAAATGCATCAATCTTGTCGCATTCAAGCAGAAAAAGCATAATTTTCCATGGTAGCATCTACTAAGGGTGTATTTGCCTGAAAACGACGGATAGCAGTTTCCCTACTGCCTCGGATGATTTTGAAAAATAAGTAATCAAAATACTTGATAGAAACGCGGGTCAACATGACCACTATAACAGTTAGGCAGGCGCAAGCTGCTGAAAGATTAGGGTGGGAGAGAGTTTGACAGAAATTCGACCTAGTGGGACCGGAATAGATTAGGTACCCTTCTTTCACTAGACTACTCTTATTACGCAAGGTTGGATGCTCGAAGAGTTAGGATGTTCAGACAGCGCCAAACCCAAGGGCGTCCTCTAAAGTGCTAGTTCGTTATACTAGGTGTAATTGCTTTTGCTCGGAACAAGAGAAAGTCCCTCGTATAAGAAAGGCAGCATCAGTTTTTTTTTCATTTAGAACCAGCATCAGCATAGCTAGCCAACAACTGTGGACAGATATGCTAATGGTTGAGGTGTTTACGACCCACCACCGGCTTCTCTTCGGCGGGGGTTGTGTAGCTAACCTACTCAGCTCGCAGTTAATAAGCGAATACCACTTCCGATTCGGAAAGTCCACATCAGCCTGATCTACCAACATATAGGCGGTTTTCGGGCCTCACTCACTGTGGAATGCCACGCGCTACTGAATTGGACCGAAGCGGTACCCCGTCGTTCTCGTTCAGAAAGCGTTTGATGGTCGGAAAGATAGAAAAAGTCAGCATAAATGCATGAAAAAATTTACCATGACAGCCAATAGTTCAGCGTGATGTTTTCTAGAAAAGATGGCAGTGCAACATTTAGGTCCTCAGGAGCCCTTCTAAGTTAGCCGTATAAAATTTTGATCATTTCTTTGGGTTAATCACCGGCGGAAACTCGATTACCAACTCTTCACCAGTCAAAACAGTGCTCTTGATTAATGAATGAACAGAAAATACTCCGGGCATCACAAAGCCGCTGGTCCTGGCGCGCTATAATCCCATTCGTTTAAGGTTGTAAGTGAAATCTTCAGTCGATGCTAGCCCAACTTATTCGCATATACCTATTAAAAAACGACTTCCACGACAGAATTTGAGTGAAGCGTTAATAGTGCTTTCTTTCAGGGAAGATGCTCGCACTGATACGAAAGTTGTTGCAGTAAAAACCAAACGATAGTTGTAAGACGATTCCTGGCGCCAACTATCTCTCATCGCCCTACGACCACCCATGTAGTACTGACCCAAGAAGGATTCGAACCAGATGAGTGTTGGATTAACCGGATCTTCACACTGTCAGGTGTTTGAGCGATGGTATCCGAATAGACAGCCCAAAACATTAGTGGTCTCTATGGGCACTCATGAATCATAGTATGTCCCTGGGAGATTGATTGTATGCCACGCGCTACTGAATTGGACCGAAGCGGTACCCCGTCGTTCTCGTTCAGAAAGCGTTTGATGGTCGGAAAGATAGAAAAAGTCAGCATAAATGCATGAAAAAATTTACCATGACAGCCAATAGTTCAGCGTGATGTTTTCTAGAAAAGATGGCAGTGCAACATTTAGGTCCTCAGGAGCCCTTCTAAGTTAGCCGTATAAAATTTTGATCATTTCTTTGGGTTAATCACCGGCGGAAATTCGATTACCAACTCTTCACCAGTCAAAACAGTGCTCTTGATTAATGAATGAACAGAAAATACTCCGGGCATCACAAAGCCGCTGGTCCTGGCGCGCTATAATCCCATTCGTTTAAGGTTGTAAGTGAAATCTTCAGTCGATGCTAGCCCAACTTATTCGCATATACCTATTAAAAAACGACTTCCACGACAGAATTTGAGTGAAGCGTTAATAGTGCTTTCTTTCAGGGAAGATGCTCGCACTGATACGAAAGTTGTTGCAGTAAAAACCAAACGATAGTTGTAAGACGATTCCTGGCGCCAACTATCTCTCATCGCCCTACGACCACCCATGTAGTACTGACCCAAGAAGGATTCGAACCAGATGAGTGTTGGATTAACCGGATCTTCACACTGTCAGGTGTTTGAGCGATGGTATACGAATAGACAGCCCAAAACATTAGTGGTCTCTATGGGCACTCATGAATCATAGTATGTCCCTGGGAGATTGTTAATATATACATATATATATATATATATATATAATATTATATATATACTGCATATTATGCTTGTCCATTCTCATATTGGCGAAACAGGTTACCTTGGTTGAGAAGCACCAGTAGAACAAACTGCTAACAAATTCAAAGAGGAGACTCACATGTTTTGGATAACCGATTATGGTCAAGCTGGTGTCATACAAGTAGTCTTTCTACAATTGGTGTCACGAGCAATACAGGAAAAGTTGCAAAACTTACATCATGAAGAACATAGACCCCGTAGAAAAACATGGTCGTGTAAAAACAAAACTTCCACCTGTAGAATGGAAAATGTGGACACATGTGTGGATCGCGCTGGCTAACAACATACCCTGACTCGGAAAACTTTAAAATCACAGGAGTTTTACTCAAATTCCTTCTTTTATGAAACCAAAATTCCACTATCTTTGGGTCCATATTTAAAGCCTCGGACATTTCCTATCGTGAGATATAAAGCAGAGTTGGCGTGTACAAAATACCTGAATAGTTTCCCTTGAGGGTCTGCGTGTTTTTGAAAAGGTGCTCTCAAGCAGCGCATTCGGGGATACGGATGATCGGTTGGGTAGTCGTAGCCCGAAATGTTGTCCCAGTGGGACAAATATGAAACTGAAGAAGTGAGATGAGCGTTCGAATAGTAACCAGGTACTTACTGAGTGAGAACATAACGGAGAACAGATAGGACAGATGCAACAAGGAGACACCTTTTAAGAAAGGAGGGAATCTCGTATCCCTTGCTGTATGTTTGAACTTCAGCCCAGGTGACAGGATGCGGTAGCCAGAACCAGTCTGACCATAAGTAGCCTCTGAAGGTCCGATAGGAATCAATAAGCCAGGACATCGTCCTGTGTCAGGATCAGAGATACGGGGAGAACAAGATCACGTCCAAATGAAAAGTGAAAAATTTATATCCACGGTGTCGTCTTCAATAGGCTTTCTAAAAAGAGACCGGAAAAAGTTTTTTGATCAGTAGTTAGTTCAAACAAAAGTTGGCATATGGATGTGCAAAGCAGTGAATGACTCGACCCTATGGTCAGCTCATCAGACTGACATCTGACTTGACATCAATAACACAGTTTGATAAACTGGATGCATTTGGCCACGACGGTTGGCGTGTCCCAAGGGGTATAGTACGTGAGATAACAATACTGCGACGCACCTCTTATGGGTCAGACGTATAGAAATGATAAGCTAAAATACAAGCAGTAAGAGCACGTAGCAAATGGGGTGATCGTCCGGGAACCAAACACATTTATCAGTTCTACTCGGTCCACGTCGCCCAGCGCAAACAGCCGTAACAACAGAGGAAACGAGTTCCCTAGGACGATGATTCCCCTTTGAGGGCACCCATGGAATCAACATACAATGTCATTCGGTACGGGGAATTCCCCACAAACAAGATTTGTTCCGAGGGTAAAGATATCGGACCGCACAAAGCTCGGTAAAACACACGTCTCCAACCATATTGAACAGGCTAGTTTCCAGAGGACAAAGCGCTAGCCGACCAATTTGCACAGGTATGAAACTCTAAAATGGTGTGGACTTTTGACCTTAACTACTTGTTGGCTTAACGAAATAGTCAGCTGATTATTCTGAACGGCAGAAATGTTTACAAAGTTGGCCGGGGATCCTTGCAAAAGATCCCATAATATCAAGACCATCAGATTCAAATGTTACTGGATGTTTATGACAAAGATGTGGTCGGGTTCTGAAAAGTTGAGCCCCACGAGCGTATTCGCCTTTGTCCGGAATGACTAGGTGTGCAAGGTTTCGACTTGGAAATGGTTACAATATATCAACCACTGCAGCATGACCACATTTTGAGGTGCTATTATATTCAAAAAGTAGGGAATGCAAACACTTCTAGAAAGGCTAGACAGAGACATTCGTGTTTCTCCTTATATGACGCCCGACTTTGTGGTAGTGGTTATGTACAACGTGAAGCGCGCCTTGTGGAAAGGGTTCAAGATGACCAAATTTCAGCGCTAGCGGCGTCAGAACAGTATGCCATTAAAACTAAAAGGAACGTGTGGAAGAGTACAGCTGTTCCCGGCCATTTTTGTGGCTGTGAGGAGGTTTACCAGAAACACAGTTCGTATAGATGATACCATCTGGTTAGGACAGATTAGATGGCATTGACGAAAAGTCGGTGATCGCCGATCCAGAAGGAACCCGATTTTCATATATTATTCACAGTGGAAGGTAACCTGAAGTTTAAGCTGAAAATCAGCAGAGATGTGCGGCAGCGATTAAAAGGTGCGGCTGAAACGACCTGTTTTTTCTAGGTTACCCCTGCATTTGGTCTAAGACCTCGCAAAATCTCACTGTCAAGTTGAATAGATGACCTTATTGCTTTCCCGACTGCATTCATCCCAGATTCCTTGTCAGACAAACCAACCACGAACAGATGCTGTTCTTTTGGTCTTGTTATTCACTAGATTTTTTTCTATTAAGTTAATGCCGAAATCGTCGGAATCTGACAAAAGAACTACGCGTTACATGTCGCTAAACGAATAAAGATGACATGGGATGGACATTTGCTATTCGCTTCATTCCCAATTAACAGGGTCGTCCCGAGTGCCTCGCTGACAGATGAGTTTCTCCCACATAAAAAGTTGTCTGAGATAAGTTAGGTCCGGAATGAAGGATTACAAAGTGCCCTGTACGAAAAGTCCAAAAAACTGTTCCCGCGCTGGTGTATGCCCTATGACATCAGTCTTCTAGAATGGGCACGTGTGGGGTAACAATTGAATGAGAGCATCGCCGCGCAGTGTGATGGCGACGATATCGAGAAACCTTTGATTATATATATATATATATATTA